TTCATGGCGCCGCACTGCCTAGTTCCATATTGTCAGTTGGTCCTGCATAACGGTGGCCTCATTTTGGTTGAAATGAAATGCAAAAAGCTCTCGTGTCCTTAAATATGCGCGTACGTTTAGCAGAGCCCGTTGTACAACCTGTCTAATAATAATTCTGATCGAGCGTGAAAACCGCCAGAACTGAGACTGCTCGCTGCAAGATTAACTTAAACTAACTATTCAGTCACAGACACAAAGCAAAATGATTACTCGTTACTGCAGACAGCTTCCCTCCCTGTATCTGTCAGAGTAAAAGAGAGGCGTAATGGCCCATTAAAGCGGAAAAAGAAATGACATGTTTAGTCTTCATTTTTTTTTTTTTTGCTAAAGGGTTGAAATTGTCATCTACGCGTTTGCAGCGTGGAGCTGCAAAGGAAACCCTCTATAATTTTTTATTAAGACAGCTTCTCTAATAGACCAAGATTTTGTCTATTCTCGTACTATATAGTACCGGGTACTAATGCCTCTCTCTATAGTAGAGGAGAGCGTATAGCGTGCCAGCGAATGCAGAGGTCGTTACACTTTCCGAGTTTCATTTCGTCGCCAATACGTGGCACCGCCGGTGAGAACTAATAAAAGCTACGGCATGTATTAGCAGCAGCACACGTAAGAAACAGAGCCACGACACGCACGAAGAGCGCCAACCTGTCTCTTCGTATGCGTCGCCGTTTTTTTTTTTTTCCTTATGCGTATCGCGCTAATACGTGCTGTACTTACAAAACACCAACTTATTCGAACTGCTACCTTGCTGAATACAAAGTAATATGTTATCCTCTTCCTCCCCCCCCCCCATTCCCTCACCCGGACACTTTCCTTAAACCTCGCGTCGGAGTGGCGCTTGGAACAAGCCAGGAATTTCCAGAGGAGTTTCGAAAGTGATACGAAACTAGGGTCAAATAACATCTTGCACGAAGCTGATAGACTCAGCTTATGCACTTTGGTTTATATGCTTTCCATAAATGAAAGTAATAGTAATCGATCTTGCAATAGAGCTCGAAGCTGCAAATGTAGTCTCGCACGAGTTCCTTGTGCTACTTTTAAGTAAACATATCCACTTCGTGGATTTCCACAGAGGCGTTTACGCTTTAAAGTCACAATTTTATTTTCTGAAACACTATACTCATACATACCCCCGTGTCTGCAGGCGCCTCAGCGTTATTCGGTATTCGCGCTCGCCAAGAATACTCACTCACAGCGCATATATATCTCAAACAAATAAAAAAAACGTAGTAGCTTAAGCATGTACACTGTTATTCACTGTCAGCAACAGCTCGGCACCTGATTTCGTGTTCTGCGTTACCGAAACAAAACAGCGAACTACATATGTGAGCTATTTACCGCACGAGGAAAAGAGCAGGGGAAAAAGAAGTGTCACAAGAACAAAGGGTCGTAAACATTCTGTAGAACACGTCGAGCCTGCAAAACAAGGCGACGACGAAGTCAGAGGGTGCGAAAAGGCTGAGCGAAAGGGGGATTTCTGGTCGTTTCGCGTGCACTGTCTTCCCTCAAGTGCCTCGCGAGGTCGCGTTATCTCAAAAGTTTCGGACGAGCGCTATTAAAAGGAGAGGCAGCAACACGACGCACATGCTCGGTAATGACCATGCAGCCTGGCGCTTGCAGTCATGGAGTGACATCTATTTGTTCGTGGGCGCGAGACACCATGTTTGTTGATTAGGTTAGTGAGAAAATGTTCACTTGCAATATATACGCGCCATAAAACTACGATCATTAGTTTTTATCATCATCACAGTCAGCATGTTTTACTCCACTGCGGGATGAAGGCCTCTTCCAGTTATCTCCATGTTTTACGCTATCCTTCTGCGAGATGGTTACATTTTAAACCGTGCAAAATTCTTCATTTCGTTATTATCTAACCCGCTGGCTTTCCGAACTGCGTTTCCCATCCCGTGGTAACCATTGTGTTGCTATCAATGTCCACCTGTTGTCTGCCATACGCTTTACGTGGTCAGCCCAGGCCCGTTTCATTCAAATGATGCCAACTATAAAATATCCGCCACCGCTTCTTGTTTTTATGATCTTTCTGCGTGGCCAGAAAAAGATCGTGCTTGTCTGCAATACATATATATGCCAGCTTATCCCTACCAACGCCTCGACTTTACGTTAAAAGAATGACGCCTTTAAAATTAAATATGCGGGGTGTACTCAAAGCAGAAACGGACGAAAATTCCCGGTGATTTGGAAGGTTTGGGATTGAACTGTATGTTATATTACGTGAAATCCGGCGTTGCCAAAGAGGTAGTCAACGGCATAATCATGCGAATGCATCGTGAAAACTACAAATACTGTTACATAAAGGTGTACGGATGAGGCGTATTTACAGTGTATTTACACTGTACCCAAGCCCATAGATCAAATGGCGAAACGCGCGCCAGTCTCGAATCAAGTCGTCGTTTTCGACGCCGTTTTTGTCGTTCACTATGAACTACAGTGAAATATGAAATACCAACGATTGAAATATTAAGTATGAAATACTAATTAGTATTTAACTACGAAATACTAACGCATAGACGTTAGTGCGCCTGCCGAGTTCTCAGACATCCCTAAACGAGTGAGACGCACTAATGATAAAATGCGGAGAAAAAACTCTGAACACTTTTTGTCACGCTCACACGAAAGCTAACTAAATAAATGTTGGGCTTTAACGTCCCAAAACCACCATTTGATCATGAGAGATGCCGTAGTGGAGGCCTCTGGAAATTTCGACCACCTGGGGTTCTTTAACGTGCCCCCAAATCTGAGCACACGTGCCTCAAGCGTTGTCCCCTCCATCGGAAATGCAGCCGCCGCGTCCGGGATTCGATCCCGCGACCTGCAGGTCAGCAGCCGAGTGCCTTAGCCACTAGACCACCATGGTGAACGACACGAAAGCATACATGCACATAATATAATAAATGTCCAGGTTAGAATTTTCCTTACAAACGTTTACAAACTGCGTTCACTAGTTAATTCTGTATACTGTATAATAACAATTTGTAACGCTCCTGATGACATAATAAAATTATTTCTGATTCTGAAAAAAAAATTTAAGGTCATATGATGCGTAGGAAAACAAAACAAAAAAAAACCACCCACCGAGTTCTCAGAAATTCCTATACGAGTGAAACACGTTAATGATTAAATGAAAAAAAAACGATTCAAACAATTTTTTGTCACTATATAACTCTCAGGCGAAAGCTGACGTGCACATACGACATAATAACTTGTTGAAGTTAAAGTTTTCCTCAAGAACGTTCCAAAGTTAGAACTGCATTCACTAGTTAACTTAAGTCCATACGATGCGCAGGAAAACAAAAAAAGAACTGATCAACGCCACGAGGAACCATTCATACTGAGCACGTCGTCATGCACAGTCACGGTCCGGGATGCCATTTCACTGTACGGCAGCAAACCATACGTGCAAGTTCATCGACTGCTCTATCGAAGAGGCGAGTGCATATACGTGCCACCGTTCGGTTGGTTTCCTTGTCCAGTCGCTTATTTCACCACTTGTACCGGTGCTCCTTCGCGAGATTCAGGTATACGTCAATAGCAACCTTGATGCTTGATGCGCTAGCTTAAACGACACTGCAATCGAGCATAAATTTTCTCAGAAGCCACGAATTGCTGCGCCCAACTTTTTTTTTAATACGTATAGCATTACATGGCGCGTATGAGGAAACATTCCGTGCATTATTTGGAAGAGTGTCGCCACGCACTTTTCTACTTCATTCTTTGGTGCCTCATTTCTCATACCGAAGGACAGGGTATTGGGTTGGAGTGATCTATCCATTCATTTATCCATATCTCCCTCCCCTCCTCATGTCTAGTCATATAATGCCTTCAGACCCAACTTGCACCCAGCTCCCGCAAGAGGAAATGAACTCGCGACGGAACGAGGCACCCGTAATTGATTGATTTGTGGGGTTTAACGTCCCAAGACCACCATATGATTATGAGAGGCGCCGTAGTGGGGGGCTCCGGAAATTTCGACCTCCTGGGTTTTTTTTTAACGTGCACTCAAATCTGAGCATACGGGCCTACAACATTTCCGCCTCCATCAGAAATGCAGTCGCCACAGCCGGGATTTGATACCACGACCTGCGGGTCAGTGGCCGAGTACTTTAGCCACAGGACCACCGCAATGAGGAAGCAGAAAACGAAGAACATTCGTGCACAGAATGTGTGGGGAGTGCTGACGCCTTTGTAAAGTTGTTTGCGCCACGCAGCGCACGTGTCCCACTCAGAAGCCGTACTTCGAGGTCACAACTATTGAGTGGTAGGTGGCGTTGCGTTCGCGAGCGTTGATCACCACTATCATCATCGTGGTTAGATCGGTAACGCCGGTGGTGAGCCCCTGGCGTTTGGCGCGAACGGTTGTCTCTCGCAGTGGGACTCCGGTGCACGGCACCGCGGGCCGTCTGCCGGGGGCCCTCGTGGTGAGTCAGGCGTTGGCGACACCACCTTGTTTGTCATGTTGTTGATTGTGTAAGGCTGCTTTAGCATGATCATAATTGATGTATAATAATTCGGCTGACGATATCGTCGTTCAAAAATAGTCCAAATAAGTGTGTGTGTTGTTTTGGTGTGGTCCGACTGCGTCAACTGTGTTCATTCACTCCATGAGTCTGGTGCTCGCTTGCCACTTCGAGACCCCACAACTGTTAATCAGGCAATAAATAGTAACTTGAACGCGCTCCACGCACACTCATCATTACATGTGAATGCGCGTAATACTCGTGCGCAGAACCGCCGACGACTGCGGCGTACTTATGTTGAAGATGCTTGGTGCGATTGATTCGCTTTATCAGTGCTGTGTGAACTTATTTTTTTCGTACCTCAGTTGTTACAGTGTCACGCAAACTGCTGCTGCTGTTTGAAGTATATGACATATTCGATGTGTAAGGACACTTACTTTCTGCACTGCCCTATTGACTCAATGCGTATCTGCACGGAGCCCTCACCTGATCATCTGCCTTCTCTGCTCGGGGTGCAGAATGACATCCTTTTTCTCGGTCAGACCGTCGTGCAGGTTGAACGCTATGCTGGTCACCCTCTGCGTAGCCACCATCAGCGGGCTGCGGCGTGAGAGAACACCGTGCATCAAATGCTTGAAACAAATGTCATCTCATAAAAGCTGCACTTCACTCGCATGTGCACCGAAAAAAATAAACACACGCACAAACTCACACGCACGCGCGCGCACACACGCACACACACGCGCACACACAAACACACATACACACACGCACACATACACACACACGCACACACAAACACACACATACACACACGTACACATACACGCACACACGCACGCACACACACGCACACACACACGCACACACACACACACACACACACAAACACACACACACACATGCGCACGCACAAGAAGTGCGGTGCTCTTGTCGAGTTTGTCCACTTCATGACTCTTTCTAACGGGGCCGTACTTATACGACGTTTGTAAAGCTTTTACGTACGCGCTTGATGCACTTATGTGCAAGCGTGACACCCAGCGTAAAGCCTAAGCTTGACTGGTTGAGGTAGCTATGACTGTGATCGGGACTATACCATGTCTAGTGGCGAGCACGGAGACATGCTTAAGGCGCCCACAAAATGACAAATAATTGCCTCAAATTACTCAAGCCTCGTACTATTCCTCTTCGGTGTGTTGATTGCACCGAATTGCGACTTCTTGTTTTGTTAATTGAATATAACAATAAAAAAGAGAGAAACTAAAGAACGAAGTTAATGAGCATGTCATCATCATCAGCCTGACTACGCCCACTGCAGGCCCTATGTTCCGCCAGTCACTTCGGTCCTGTTCTTGCTCGGTCCTGTTCTTGCTCGGTCCTGTGAGCATGTATATTCGTCCTAGCTCATGCGATGCGGCCCGATCATCACACTCGCATATATACTTTTTTTTTTTTTCAAAAGTGGCTGGTTTGTATGGACTAGCAATTGCTCCGAGTGTTATCCCTCGCCGCAAGACGCCCCTGTGTGTATCGCAACAGTGTCGAGTGATTTCGATTGTTTTAGTCAGACTGCGAGCAGGACGTAAACGGTGGAGTGTATACACAGCCTGGAGCGAGGTTATGCTGAAATCGATAGTTGGACGGAAACCCGTATGGTCAGGAACAGACATGAAGGCAATCGAAATAAGACGCTGACCACCACAGCAAATGAAAGATTTGCTTTTATTTGCTTTGCATCGTGGTCAGCGTCTTGCTCTTGCATGCATTAGTTTTCGTTTCGTTTATTTTTGTTTGTTTAAACTTGAGTTGTTAGACACGCTTGTCTGCGTTCTTTTTCCTCGAGCTCCGTCCTTTTGCGTTTATTTTGTACAGGATGCGTTTTTCGTGGTTTTAGTTCATTTTTTGCGATTGTGTTGTTGGTTATTTCTGTGTATTATATTACACTTGGTTGCTTTATCTTGCACTTATTTTGAGCATTGGTAGCTTCGTTTTGCGCCTGTGTGAACATGCTACATGAAAGAGTCGACGAATGACCAGGGACCCTTTTGATACTTTGCAAGTGCACTTCTCTAATTTGCATATTTGCCCAAGTAATGGCGACATCTGTCGTGCTTCAAGCGTAGACGGGCTTGAAGTTCAAGGACTTGTCTATTATAAGTGCTTATATTAAGAGAGTAGACTTTACGTCCTTCACGCCATTGCGTAAGCAAACCACGCTTTAACAGGCTGTTTGCAGTGAGCGAACACCGCCATTAGTCGTTTAAACTGTCTAGCTAGAAAGCTAACTTTACGATTTCGAAAAGGGTCTACCCCTAAAGTGCTATGCACTAAAAAAGTTGGCGCAGTGTAGCAGGGGTCTGTGTACTATATAATAGAGACCGTTACCCCGTTACGTCCAGGTGGTATCCCCCGTAGTCGTACGTCTGCCGCATTAGGTGGATGACAGACAGGTAGAGCATGCCGACTGCCAGCGCAATCCTGAAAAAAAAAGGTGGGGGGGGGGGGAGACAAGGTGCCAAAGAAGGAACGAAGTGGCCAGGACGAAGAAATGAAATAAAAGAGACATTTTCAACGACAACAATAAACGAAAGACACCTATGCACATGAAACTGCACACGCAACTTCAACAAAAATAAGCATGTCTAAGAAAGCCTTTGAGAAAGACGGCAAAAGAAAGTGAATAAATAAATGGTGGTGTATAAGTATAGTAACAATAACCACATTTGGACATCACTTTCCCGCTATACTACAGCTGCAGCTTTTGCGTGAACGTGGACGCCTTTTTTTTTCTTTTCCCACGAACAGACATTTATTGACCGATAACCAAATTCGAGATATCGTTCATTCGATTTTCTCTCCCTAGCGCACTTACGTGAAATTATTCGTCGTGAGAAAATGCCTTAATCCCAATAACTTAATTGCGCTTTATTCAAGACGCTGCTGCACTATAACTCAAGAAGTCGAGAATTGTTTTTAAGACAATAAATGCGAGGCTCTGACCCAAACGTCTACGAAATAACTGAAGGCTTATTTAAGTGCTGCCTGTGATGATTGTGTTCGTGCACGCGTCAACCATTTCTGTGTTTAATTTATGTCAATGGCGTTCACATTTCCTATCATATTTGTTATACATACTTACTACTGTGATATAGAAACTTAGACTGTATCATGAAATGAACGAGAGTGCGAGAGCTTAATAGGTTCGTCTCTCTATTCATGGTATATATATATATATATATATATATATATATATATATATATATATATATATATATATATATATATATATATATATATATATATATATATAAGGGAAACAAGTGTAAGCTTAAGGGCTCGTTTTTCGTGTTTTGCACAATATTAATGAGATCTAACAGACAATAATGCCAAGGAAGGCATAGGGGAAGTTATTAGGCCAATTGTAATGAAAATGAGAAGAAAGAAAAGTGGGTGAAAAGATAACTTGCCATGGGCAGGATCCAATATATATATATATATATATATATATATATATATATATATATATATATATATATATATATATATATATATATATATATATATTAAAGGTAAAAAGAGCCGACCGACCCATTAACGGGAAACCCTTCCTTTACGCACGCCGCACGCCGACCGACCCATTACGGGGAAACCCTTTCTTTACGCACGCCGTCACGGACCCTCCCGGCACCGCGGCGACAATCTTGGGCGGCCCGACACACGTCGAGAACTGAACAGCACGTGATAAGAAACGTATGTGGACGTACACGGACAGTTGGTTTCGTTCTCAGTGTTGACAGTGGTTCTTCCTCTTTTTTACTTTCTTTCTTTTCTTTCTTTTTCTTTTTTTCTCCCCCCCTTTTTTTTAGTTCCCTCTCACTCTCACAAACATGTTTCAAGGCGAGAGGGACGCGGCAGCAACGAAGTTTGGAAATTCATGTCAGTATAACTCATCCCCTGATGAAGGGAGGACCCCTCCCGAAACTGTTGGGAAATAAATATATTTATCCTTGTTGATAACGCTCCCGTCGAGCCATATCCCATATATATATATATATATATATATATATATATATATATATATATATATATATATATATATATATATATATATATATATATATATATATATAGTTTTCACTATATATATATAGTTTATTGCAGTGCCACTGACCTGAAGGACAGTGGCACTGCAATGGGCACGAAAATGGCCCCAAACTTCGCGAGCACCTTTATGGCTTCACTTGAAATCCCATTCATTGAGGGACGCACCTTGAAACCTTTCTACTACAGAAGATACTTAGACGATATTTTTATGATATGGAACCATGATGAGGGAAGTCTTTTCCGCTTCATAGAGGATTTTAACAAGTGCCACCCGTCAATAAAATTCACGCACAAAATTTCCAAAACTAGCATTAACTTTTGGACGTCACTGTCACGGTCGAAAATGACCGCTTGTCAACAAACCTTTACAAAAAGCCTACAGACCGTCAAATGTACCTACATTTCAACAGCAGCCACCCAAAGCATTGCAAAACGGGTATTCCATATTCTCAGGCCTACCGGTACCGAAGAATATGCACCGATATGCGGGAATTTGACAGACACGCGGAACACCTAAAGCATTCCTTATTGAAACAAAATTATCCGGAAGACATTATTGACGATGCCATACTACGTGCTCGCAACGTGAACAGGAATGATATAATTAAGGGACCAAACAGAGTATCTAAAACGACTTCCCAAACGAACCTTGTACTAACTTACTCCTCATCAGCGCCACGAATCAACAACATACTTTCCCGCCATTTCAACATAATCAGGCAAAGCAAACGACTAACTTCTATTTTCGCGAAGCCACCTCACGTGGTGTACCGCCGGGATAAAAATCTGAAGGACATTCTTGTCAGAGCAAAAACAACCACCCCCAAATTTCAATCAGGGTGCCATCCCTGCGGAAAAGCTCGATGCAAGGTATGCCCACAGATGGTCACAACACGTGAATCCAAAGCGAACTTCTCGGATTTCAAATTCTGCATAACTCATAACTGAAAGCCTTAATTGTGACTCCAGTAACGTAATATACATGCTACATGCAACATCTGCGGACAAGAATATATCGGCCAAACAAACACGCCATTTCGGCTGCGGTTCAATAATCACCGGTACCACGCCACTTCACTGCCGAAGCTACCTTTATCTAGACATCTGCGCCTGCCAAACCACAGTTTTGAAAATATCAGCGTAACTCTTTTGCAGTCCGGTTTCTCAAACAGACGCGAGCGCGAACAGCGTGAGGCATATTTTATTTTCAAATTTCGAACATTAGTAGCCGGCATCAACGAGGACCCCGGAAAACTCAACTGCCTACGAGAAGTAAGCCAGGAGGAAATTGGTGACAAAGATTGATAGCTGGAGACCATGCTTTTTTCTGACTGACTCGTACGTGTACACTGTCCTTTCTTGTTTTTTTTTGTTTTTCGTTTTTTTTCTTCCTTTTTTTTCCCACATGCACATACAAAGTGTTTACGTTCGCCTACCACTTGATGACCATTGAAGGGAAACGGACGAAGATTAAAGGTAAAAAGAGCCGACCGACCCATTAACGGGAAACCCTTTCTTTAGGCACGCCGCACGCCGACCGACCCATTACGGGGAAACCCTTTCTTTACGCATGCCTTCACGGACCCTCCCGGCACCGCGGCGACAATCTTGGGTGACCCGACACACGTCGAGAACTGAACAGCACGTGATAAGAACAGTATGTGGACGTACACGGACAGTTGGTTTCGTTCTCAGTGTTGACAGTGGTTCTTCCTCTTTTCACTTTCTTTCTTTCTTTTCTTTCTTTTTTTTCGTCTTTTTTCTCCCCCCTTTTTGTTTTTTGTTTTTTTTCCTTTTTTAGTTCGCTCTCACTCTCGCAAACATGTTTCAAGGCGAGAGGGACGCGGCAGCAACGAAGTTTGGAAGTTCATGTCAGTATAACTCATCCCCTGATGAAGGGAGGACCCCTCCCGAAACTGTTGGGAAATAAATATATTTATCCTTGTTGACAACGCTCCCGTTGTGCCATATCCCATACCTTCACGAAGACTAACTGGCCCATTGAATTATTACTCCCACTATATATATATATATATATATATATATATATATATATATATATATATATATATATATATATAATATATATATATATATATATATATATATATATATATATATATATATATATAGATGAAATAGATGATCAGAGTTTCTTCCGGCTACCGTAATAAAAGTTATAAACTTCGAGAATAGTGCAGTATAGGAAACAAAACAATAAAATATTTATTTAATCCTAACAGTTTCGGCTGGTGGACCAGCCTTCTTCGGAGGATGTACTATTCTCGAAGTTTATATATATATATATATATATATATATATATATATATATATATATAACTCGGCCCAAGCTAAAGCCATCAGCAGCAATTAACAATTAACATCAATCGGCTGGACATTCTCCGTCTAGGATATCTCATCCGGTGCGGGCGCAAAAGTATACAGAGCGTGACGAGCCGAACTACATGGTTCGGCGAAGCAGCCTCCGGCGTCAACGCAGCAAACTACGCAGGCAAAAAACTCATTTTATCTACGCTGAATGATGCATGGAAATGAGGCTGCGGTCGGCTCATCCAAAACGACTGCATCAAGTTCCGTGCGCACAAGTTCTGTCACAAAAAGATAAAACAGCGTCAAAAGTTGGCTCCCGCAGCAGCAGCAAAAGCAGCAGCAAAAGCAGCAGCAAAAGCAGCCATAAGGAGGCGGCCCCTAATGCGTCTCGGCTTTGTGCTCGTGGTCTTAGGTTACACACCTCGGCTGCGATGGCAATTATACAGATAAAACAGGCGTATTCGTGATGTTTCTGGGTCACGTTCCGAATTCGGGCACCGGAAAAATGGACATGGAAACAAGCGCTCGTATTGTTCTTTATGGTGCCACCCTCTACCACTGTCCTTGTCTCTCGTCTTCAAGGTGTCCTTGACGATAAGATGCAATTACTGTCCAACCAAACTTTCCTTTATCTACCCAGGTTTCCCATCCGTAACATGTAAAAACACATGTACATGCACGCACAAACACACACACAAACACGGATGCGCACACAACCTGTGCAAACGCGAGGGCAGTCGAAACGACCGAACAATATCTATAGTTGCAGCACCTACGACGAATGTTATAAGGTTCAACGTTGGAGCTGTCATGACGTGGCAGTAAGAAAACACGAGGCGGTGCAATAATGCCGGCAAGAAAAGGGATCGCGCGACATGCCCGTCTTGAAGATGCGGCACGCAGGGCCCGTAAGGAAAAACAGAGGCGAAAAACGACGAGGCCAAGAAGAAATGGACATTGCATTGCTACTGCTGTCAATGACATAAAAAAAAGCGAGACAGTTGCTACTTCTTTCGTTTATTTTTTTTGGCTCATTCACCAAAACAATAGCCACCCGAAGAAATTAAATGCCTCGCGTCTTTAATGTATACGCACCATACCATTCTCTTTCACGCCAGTAAAGCTGGTCGGTCGTAATTGCCACAATTATACGCCTTCAAGCCACGCGCGCGAAGGTATAGCTCAATGGGAGGAACCATTCTCTATTGTATACGAGATCACCGAGTAAACGCTGGCGCTAATGTCTGTGGGATAGCTTCAAAAGAATGGCGGTTCGGCCGGTAGGCGAATTGCGTTGCGTACGTTCACTCCGACTTCGTTCTTCCTTCCGTCTTCAAGTAGTTTTACTTGTGGCGGAGAAACTATGTCGTTTTCGCCAATTCGTTGCGTCGCAAGTGGTGCACAAACCACAACAATTCCGCGTGTGCATGAATTCTTGTTGCTTTCTGAGTATGTAGCAAACATGGTTGAGAATTTGTGCCGATAAAGGTAGAGATCAAGAGCGCCGTAAATCAAAAAACGTCGCGAAGGGGACACATGTACTACCATGGCGTTCTGTTTTTAAATCAAAATTATGCCTTGATATATCAAATTGAAGAATGATGTGTAATCTCATCTCGCCTGATTGCTAAACATTCAACTAAGTGCGAAAAACCTAGCTCATCTAGTCGAACCCTGTAATTTCAATCGTGTGAACACATTGGCATGCTATGCACAAGACATATCGCTCAAACGCCCCGGAAAACACTCATAGAAAAGGTACGGCTTCCTTAACAGCGCGCAGCAAAGCCCTCCGTGCATGCTGGCTCGCCACGTGTCATGCATTTTCGCCCATTTGAAAACGTAAGAATATCGTTTCACTTACTTGTGCATACTTTTCGGGACTCGCGAAATTGATGATCATGTAAACAAGCGTGGCTTGCGCAACAAGGTGAAGAATTTGACTGGAAAACAACGAGAGAGAAAGACAGTGTAACTTTAAATAAAATACACGAACTCGAGTGCTTGTTCTTGAATGCGCCTTGAAGCATACGCGAGTGCTGATAAAAAAAAATTTTGACGAAAGAAGTCGGCATGCACACGTAAACGATTCGCGTATAAGTTGCCTGCATAGGCACAGTTATTAAAGGCACACAGCATAGGAAGAAATGTTCATGGCATGCACTTAAACAAAATTAGGTCTCACATGGCGTTTAAATCTATAAAAACTGACAGAATTAGAATTTTCTAGAAGTTTAACTTTAACAAACGCACATCCTTTCTTTATTTTACTAAATGTCCATATGCGTTTTTTTTTGTTATTTAAACCAGCTTGGCCTATCCATGTGACAGGCCCGACATGCTTCCTTAGGGCGACTAGGATTTCTCTCGGAAGTCTTGTCAATAAAGTTCTCCCTATTCATATCTCATTATATTCTCGTAACAGCTGAATGAGTATAAGAAATGTCATCACGTGCTCTACGTCATTAACGGCTTGTGAGTTCGAGTTCGTTGGCGCGAACCGACAAGTCTTGTGGGTTCGCGAGCCACATCCTTAACGCCGAAACTTTTACACATATAGATAACGAGTCCGCGCTTGTTGCCGTCTCTTGTCTTAAATGTTTTCTTAAAAGTAATATTCAACATAACGTATTACTTTGTCACGGTCTTATGCAACATTTAACGTAAAGAAAGAGAAAGATAGCGGGCTGTCCCTATACTTGGCGGAAGCTTGAAATGGTTCCAAATGAAAATTGTCTCTGTAATGATATTCTTGCGTGTTGCACCTGCATAGAGATCGTATTTATTTATTTATTTATTAATACTGTAACCCTCACTTGAGGGTCATTACAGGGAGAAATATAAACACAAAACAAAAACAATACACAATGACAAAACAGACATTACGTTTCATGTTGCCGGTAGTACAATTTATTCCTGCAGTAATTAAGCTGTTGCTCGGAGTTCGGGTGGCATCGTTAGAGCATGCCCAGTGTACGCAACGTGCACAACAATTAAAAGGTAATGGAACACGGAGTGTCGCTCGGGCAGGCGTTTCGACAAGCGTACTTGTCTCCTTTAAAGTTGCAACTGGTCCACGAAGAAAACAATCATGTTTTCAAAAGTGTTTCCTCCTGTGACAACATGTGTTGCAAGAATTTTTCATCGCGTTGATACTCTACCTTTAGAACTTTTTCCCAGTGTAGGCAGTGCGCTTAGCTTTGTATTGATATACACTGTTACATTGTATGTATATTATATTATTCATAAGAAAAATTAATTACTGAAACATACAAAGTGTGGCCAATTTACCCGCGGTAACGAATGGGCTAAGGCAATAACAGACAGCCAAAGCCAAATAATGTGGCGTCCTTTCAAGGCACCGCCATAGGAAAACGATGTTTCACAGCAACAAGATTACCGAGTGAAAAAAAAAAACGGCGACAACTACAATGAATAGCATTTCCAGGTAGACGAATGCACTGACCCTCAAGTTAGGGCCAGACGTGCCAGAAGCAAAACTTTATTTATTTATTTATTTATTTATTTATTTATTTATTTATTTATTTATTTATTTATTTATTTATTTTATCTGTCAATCCTATCAGGTATCATTACAGAGAGGATAATGTTTACTTGTTACAATGCAAATAGCAAAAGTTTGATTACCCGTTAGGAAAATAACGCCCGTGCAATGTACGCTGTCAGTGCACGCTAAAAACACCAGATGGTCAAAGCTTTCGGAGCCCTTCACTACAGTATCTCTCATAATCACATCTTGGTTTTGGGACGTAACCCACATGCTATTAACGAAAAAACAAGAGAACGTAATGATACATCGTAATAATAGTACATTCAAATAGGAAAAAAAAGATTTAATTATACTTTCAATCCCATCAGGGGTCGACAGTATAAAAATAAAGAGGTAAATAAGTTCCAAGAACTCTAAAAATGCGTTGCGTGTATATGGAGCTCTATTTAACTAAGGAAAACATGATAGTACTTTCCTGAGATAAAGAACGAAGAACGTACCTAGGAGGACAAAATAAATAGTCCTCCGTATGACCGTAAAATACTCATTCTATATTTAACCAACGTTTGTTAACACTGCGTATGAACGGCCAGTTAAAGCTGACACAATACTCTCGTTAATCTGGGTCCACTCCGTTGTATCGGCGCACACCCGGTGAACATTCACTCTATGATACTCCAGAAAAAGAAAAAAAACAAAGAAAAACTGCTCGTCCAATTTTGTGACACAATACATGCTGGCTTCACGCATACGGAATCGTTCTGCTCAAGACAGCTTGGCGTGTCCATCGACAAACCGACGAGGGCGGGCGCACCTGCGGCAATTCGATGACCCGCGAGACAAAGTTACGGGCTCCATCTGCTCCAACTTTCCTTGTATGCAGCTGCAGGAAAGCAGCGTTTCCCGCCCAATGCGGGTGGAACGGCTGCAAACATTCCGTTGGACGGGGATACCGTATTGTAGGGGGACTGCAATGTCAACTATGTCACTTGTTTCTGTATTGATTGATTGATTGATTCATTGATATGTGGGGTTTAACGTCCCAAAACACTATTTGATTATGAGAGACGCCGTAGTGGAGGGCTCCGGAAATTTAGACCACCTGGGGTTCTTTAACGTGCACCCTAATCTGAGCACACGGGCCTACAACATTTCCGCCTCCATCGGAAATGCAGCCGCCGCAGCCGGGATTCGAACCCGCGCCCTGCGGGTCAGCAGCCGAGTACCTTAGCCACTAGACCACCGCGGCGGGGCTTGTTTCTGTATTGCCGTTCTTTGTTTGTCAAATGACAAAAAAGCGTCTGCCAGAAAAAAAAATTGTTGATATTGCTGCTGTTTCCTCGTTTTTTCTTTGGTTTTTTTTTTGCCTTCGTAACAGCAAGACATATATAACACGAAAAGAATGTGGCCTGACAGCAAGACGTGCAGAGTATTTGTTGAATCGTGCTTCTCTTTCACACACGCTGTTTTTGTTACACTTGCCGAGTAATTAAGGCACTGAATAATCGCGATGACCTGCTCCAAAAAAACAAAAAAAAACGGACAGATAAATAAACTTCTGTCAGGCACGGCGTCTTACTCACGTACCTACGGAAGTCCGGGCGGCTTAAAGAGATGTTGAAGCATGCATTTCATTTACGAATTCACTACATACGTTGGGAATCTGTGAATTCTACAAACTTGCATGCGACGCTTTTTTTTCGATATTTATTTAACAATAGTGCTATATATATATATATATATATATATATATATATATATATATATATATATATATATATATATATATATTACCGGCAAACATTAGCCGTGGCAATGCCCCGCGCTCACGTGAAGCGCAGGTTAAGAGGACAGCGTATTGATGTCTTCGCAAGTATCGCGTAAAATATTCCTGCATTGGTCTGTGCCATTATTGGCTGCTTATAGCAAGGTATTCAGTAACGGGGTTCACAGGTACATAGACCTTGCCGCCGCACCGTCTTGCTATCTCACGAGGAGGTTCCTGCGATAGCAACTTCGCCGCAGCTTTGTTTTTACGAACTTTACTGTCGCTGAGTTAAAGCGTACTCGTGCACGCCGAAGTTCTGCGCGGCACTTGGCGCAATCTATATGCAGTCGTGCACCGTATGTGCTATATTGCAGCCTCGAGTGGTTTGCATTGCGTTAGCCCGCCGCGCCACCAAACCATGATAGTGGGAATGGTTAACAAGGGTGCATTTACTTGTTAACACGCTGGTTGCCGTTACGTCTGGACATAGCTCCAGACACTCCCTTCCGACTAATGTTCACTTTTAGTATCCCTATATATTGAACCCATTCCGGATCACGGGCTGTAACATGGGAACTTCCAATCGCTGTTTTCGCTCTATAGGCTATATTTGTGGATGGATTTCTGTACCGACCCGCCGCGGCGTTCTAGTGGCTAACGTACTCGACTGCTCACCCCCAGGTCGCGGGGTCTAATCCCGGCTGCGGCGGCTGCATTTCCGATGGAGGTGAAATGACTGCAGGCCTGTGTGCCCAGATTTCGGGTGCACGTTAAAGAGCCTCAGGTGGTCGAAATGTCCGGAGCTCTCCACTACGGCATGTCTCATAATCATGTGGTGGTTTTGGGACGTTAAACCCCAGATATTAGTATATTATTATTATATAGGTTTTCTGTGCCACCATATGAAGCTGCTAACTTTTTGTGTTTTGCATATTTAATTACTAAATGAACAGTGTTACGGTAGACGCATACGCATGGAAATTGTTGGGTTGGCATGCATACGATGTTTCACGGCCATAATATTTCACGTGGCAGTATGCAAAACAAGAAAACGTCGGCCTAACAGCCTATTAAACTGGTCAATACATAGGACCCTGTCAGCCGCGATTTTCGGCTGTAACGGACTCCGTCATGCTGAATGAAAAATTATTAAAGTCTGCCTGATAGAAAATCGGCTTTTTGTACCGTTTTAGCGGCGACAGCTATCGATTGCGATTGAAAATATTTGTCTGTTAAACAGTTGAAGTGGTCGAGTCGCACCGATTTCGCGCGGGAAGTTTCTATCACGCCCGATTGTGACAATATTTTTTCGATGAGTATTACGAATCGCCACTGTTTTAGGATATACCACAATCACTCATATGATGATGCAGAGGACAAGTATACATAATCGCTGCCGAGACGTTCTATCGCAATTGAATGTCTTTGTATCAAGCAAAATTGCGATCCGAAGTGTTCATTTAGCGGAAGCTCATCCACATGAGCTATGCGGACCGACCTTCATCCTAATCCGTGCCTGTGGGACGTTTAATATGCGGTAGATTGGTGATTAGTGCGTCGTTAATTAATTGTCAACCTCTGCTTATATCGCAAGTGGAGGTTGTAATATGGGACATGCTTCCCTGCACCGTGTCATCGGCGCTGCCATTCACCCACGTCTCTCG